GGCTCCTCCTGTGCACCAGGAGGTCCCTCGCTCTGCTCCTGACCCCGCTGCCGTGAGGCAGAGCTGTCCTGCTGGTAAAACACAGCCTAAGCAGGGATGGGTCCTGCTCTCACCATGGCCTTGTCTGCCTCGAGAGCCAGGGACAAAGTTATTTCCTCCTGTGCCTGGTCTCCACAGCCAAGAAAATAGTTTTTTGGGGGGGAACCACTTTGAGATCCGTAGATACAGGAATTTCTCCTGTAGTTTGTTAGTACTGCTATGGGTACGGCCCGGGATGGACGTGTATGTGTGTCCTAGTGATGTGCAATAGAAACCATGGGATTTTCAGCAGATGGAATATTATCTGGGCCCGGGTGCTACAAGTCTGAATGAAGAAGGTGCAGAGCATCCGCATCGCCCAAAACCTCAGCTCTTCACATATTAATCACAAGGACTAACCACACAGAGCCAAATGGGTGCTTAGGAGCCAGCGAAGCCTTTAAAGCATTCAAAAAAAGAAACATCATACATTTCCTAGCACATAAATGTGTTTAAAAAGGTATATAATTTATAATGGCAACGTTGACAGAGCTGTAACTACATTACAAAGGCTAAACTATAATCTATTTACAAGTGAGCAGTACTTACTGTGTGGGTGCGTCTCTGTTGATGTGTTTCCATGTGATTCTCCATAATTTCAGCAAGTGATTGTAGTGAGGGATATTAAACCATAGTATTGATAATACTTTTACAGCTCTGCTTTGGGAAATGCATTACTTCTAAATTAGTCCCTGCAAATGTAGGGATATTAACACTGTCGAGCATGAAGGCAGATGGGATTTGGCTCAGAGACCTTTATTTGTAGCATGATGCTGAGGAGTCATTACTTTAAAGCAGGAACTTCGTTTCCTTGAATATTAACTGGAGTTGGGGATTTTACTTCCGCTTTGGCATGAACGAGCTTATCATAAAAGTGTAAATGGAACTCGCTCGGTATTGATTTTTCTTCTGCTTTAAAAAGATGCTTAATGAAACTCAGGGTACCAGATAAAGGCCTTCACTGAATGCAAAGTAAAGCTTAATTGCAGTTCCCTTAACAAGCTACTGGAGATGATTTTTTTCCTGCTACAAAGCCCTTTCACCTATTCGGATTGTTTCTCTTCCTGTGTGTGCCAGGATGCATTAATCCAGCATTCCAGCCCCCACCAGGAGAGGCGGACGGCAGCTTAAAGACAGGAAACTTCTTTGGCAGTTCTTGTCCTGGGGAAGAACTTGGGTTTTGGGGTTTCAACAAGAGGTTTTAGCCTTAAATAGAGGCACTGCCCCTCTCCTGCACAAGGGGAAATGGGCATGGAGGCACGTTCTGGCACTGCACTGCAGAACTATAGGAAACCCAGAACCTGAACTGAGGTTTTTCTGTCCTTTACCCTAAGTCCTGGTATTTGGTGGATCCTGCAGCGATGCCAGGGCAGAGATGGGGCTCGCTCTTTTACATTGCAGCGTTGCAAGCCCCAGAGCAAATAGGAAGGGAAGGTTCAGGTTATTCCGTTCCTTGCAGAGAGCAGTTTGTGCTCTCAAGGCTGTGGAGAAGGAAGCAACAGTGTGTTCCTTCTGCTGCAGGTCCTCCTTGTGCTGCTTGAATGCTTCATTAGGTTCTCCTCATTCTCCTCTTGATCGCTTTCTTCTTCTGCAATGCAGGGGTCTGCCAGAGCCAGATCGGTGATGTCCATGGCTCCTGCAGAGACCTGGTGTAGCTGATGCCACGCGCCTGCCGCTGCTGTCCCAGGGCACTGCTCTGAACTGCCACCCCTCTAACGCTGGGGACACCACAGACACCATCTGTCCCCTCTGAGGTTCGCTACGTAGAAGCAGGGTATCCGTATTAATTACAGCAAACGCCTTCAAGCCCCTCTTTCTGCTGCTGTGCAAGAAGCTGTTTCTCCACAATACATCAGCCAGCTGAAAGCTGGCATAGTTTCATCTTCTTTCCCCCTGTGCCACAACTATCGTGAAGCAAGTTGAGTATTTGGGCACTTGGGGGTAGCCAAACCATGCCCGGGGATCCCCTGGATGAGGTGCAAGCCCCAGAAACCTCTTGCTCTTTCCCTTAGAGTCAATCCTGCTTTTTGCTCCTGCTCCAAAGAGTGCTAAGTTGGGGAATGTTGCTGCGGATCGGAGCGGGAAGCGAGCGCAGCATTGCGTCAGGTGCAGGGTAATTATTTGCTGGGGTTCTCTGCTCTTTGCGTTTTATTCCCTGTGTTTTCATTAAAAGCTAATGAGTTTTTGCTTCCTTCCGAACAATCGCTTGGCCCCTGACAAGTTGTTGGTTGGTTATTTTGCTTGGCCTCAACTGTTGCTGCTCCATAAACTTTATGGAGAAGGGGATTAAAGCACAACAAGTCCTCATAATGCAAATCCAAGTGGGAAGGGTGTGTTTTAAGGAGCTATGTCTGCAGAGCTTTTGTTGGTCTCTTTTTCTGTTCAGTTACTAAAACTAGAGGGTGGTGTTTGAGGACATCCCTCATACTGAACCAAACAAAATGCTTTTGGTTGTATTCATTTGTGTTGCAGCTGTGCTTGGTAGGATACATGTATGTGCATCCTGCAGCCTGGGTGTGTGATGGGCATGTAGACCAGGTCTCCACTCCTGTGTAGGGACAGCAAGAAGGAGCCTATTTGTGGTGAGAGCATCCCCTGTGTGCTCTTTCGTGCATCATCCACCAAAGCAGAGACCTGTGGTTGATGCCTGTACCAGCTTCACCTGTTCCATAAGTCACTGTAGAAAGGCACTGACTTATTCTTGCGGGTAACTTCCCTGGTTGGGTCCTTGTTCTTGTTCCAAATAGCTTAGTGCAGGCACGCACGGGTGTGGGAGCTGTGCCGCCTCCTGCTAGTTGGAAAGCAGGAGCAGTTTACTCATTACTGCAATGATCCTGCACCTGCACCTCATTCCATGGACACCTGTAACCCCGGGCTGTGCTGGAAAATGGTGCATTTTGGGTTGAAAGGGGCCAAAGTGCAGAGAGCGGAGCACGGCACAAGGGAAGGCTCCTCGCTACGGTGAACGCTGGCTTCTCCTGTGCTGCCCACTTGCTGTTGGGGAGAGGTGTTTTAGAGAGGCTTTTTGGAGCCTTTTGATTTGAGGAGCGAAAAAGCCCAGCAGTAAAGCAGGGAAGAAGCAGCTCCTTGTCCCACACAACCAAGCCAAGTGCTGCAATGGCTGCTCCAAGCTCAGGGCGGTCGGCGATGCGCTCCCGGCTGCGCTCCGCTTCCCACCGCCACTGGAGCAGGGATTTCAGGCTCTGCTTTTTAACCCCTCGTTGTTGTTTTGCGTGTGGAGGCACGTGCACGAGCCCCAGGTTGTTGGAGCAGAGGAACGTGCTGTGATGGGTGGAAGACTTCCATTAGCCTTCCATTGTCTGCAGTACCCTGTCTGCTGAGGTCTGATCCTGCAGAAGGATCACAGGCTGCCTTTTTGGGCCAGGGACCGGCAGCTTTCTTCTTAACCTGAGGTTAGCAATGCTGAGTGATGCGCCTTCCCAAAAGGTCTTTTCTGAATTCCCTGTTTTCCCATCATCCGATGTTCCGCACTGTGTGCTGGGATGGCTGCTGGAAGCAGGCAGAGCTGGGAAAAGATTGGATTACTTCCGGGCTTTTCCCCTCTAAGGAAACCTGTAATGGCCTAAAGGGTGGACTGCCAGAGACCCCTCTGTTCTGTCACTGCCCCCCATAGGCCTTTGGTTAAGCTTGAAGCCAAATCTCCCATCAGTTTTTCCTAGAGCTTTGGGCTTAGCCCATCAGCAAGAGGCTGTGTGTGGTACCCGCTGTGATCGGTGTTTTATGGAGCTGGGCCTGGGGGTGTGACGCTCTTCACAGCCACATTGCTCCTTCTGGGGAAGGATTGAGAACTGAAACTGTGCCCTTGAATGCAGGAGCCCGGGGGCCTCCGAGAGCTTCCCACCCAAGAGCAAGGGAGGGAAGGCTCCAACTGGGATTGCTGGAAGTAAACCGCATCCCAAATATCGTGTCACATCTTTGTGCAGCTGGAGACTTAACAGCGTCTCCACTGTGTTTCCATGTGGGAGGAAGAGCGTTGTAAACCTCTGTTCCAGGCCTTGGTACCCTTTCATCAGTGCTTGTTTGAAACTGTGGGGCACAGCTCCTCTGTTTGCTGAGATAAAACTTGGCTTTAGTGCTTGAGCACAATTAACATCAGCTGAAAACCCGCCCTTCTTGCTGTTTGTTGTGTGTTGAATGAGTAAGCAGCTGTCTTCAGCTCTGTTATCAGCAGCCTGGGCTCTGTGTATTCAGGAAATGGAAGGCAAAAGCTTGAAAGGCCACTTTTTGGGCTTTGTTTAGGGTGAGGAGTAGTTTCTTCTACAGGTAGGCTAGCTGCACTCCATTCATATTAAACCTTGATATTAACATCTGTCACTGGAGCCTCTAAGTGCCTTCTGCATAAAATCCAATATCAGGAGCAAATTCCCTAGCAAACATTCAATGTAACCTCAAGGATGGGGAGGTAATAGCTCCTGCCTCCCCGCTCAGACATATGTGACTGCTTGTCATAGGGAGTCAATCTTTCTTTCCCTGCTGTTCCTCAAGGAGGGACCTCAAAGCTCCTTCCTACAGCGTAGGACGAGTCTTCATTCTAGCGAAGCAGCGTAGTCCTTCATTTCACAGATGGATGAGTTCGTTATGCAGAGCTCATGTACTGAGAGCAAGCACAGAATTGGACCTAGCTCTGGTAGTTTGGCCTCAAGACTGGTATTTCCAGCCTCCTCCTTGTACGCCCTCTGGGTGGGAAGTCCGCACACATCCAGCATGAGTCTTCTTGCTATGCCACCATGACCCTAAATGATGAATCTGCCCTTAAACACACGAACCTGGGTTTGGGTTTTGTAGAGGACTTCAGTGGAAGGTGGGAACCAGGAGGAAATCTGTGTCACAGGGTGGGCAGTAAGATTGGGGGTGAAGAATGTGTCCTCTTCACTGAACTCAGGCTCCCCTTCTCTTTCTAGGAGAGGATCAGTGTGATGCTGGCTTTGGACAGGACAGTTGTGATGAAAATCAGAGCTGGGGTTTTGCCCCTTCCATGACGTCTGATGCTTCACTTCCATCGGACTTGCAGGATGATGGTAAGTCCTAGATGCTTTTTGAAGTCCTTGAGTGAAGAGATAATGAGAAGTGTTATCAGGTCTCATTTCCTTGTCATAATGCAGGAGCTGGTTTTTGTGAGTTTTTATTGTTGGCTGGTACCTGCTTTGTCAAGGACCACAAAATGCTGTGGTGATCCTGGGGTTGGTTTAGGATTGCTGAAGTTGAATGTAGTTGGTGAACGTCTTGCTGCAAACTGGAGCTGCTTGCTCTATTTTGGGTTGGCAACAGTGATGGCAAAGAGCAGAGTTTGACCTGGTGGCTGTGTTTCCCAAAGCAACGTGCAGCTTTTGGTGTATTTCTTCTTGTTAGGGATCTGTAACCATCAGTCAGGGACGCAAAGAACTGAGGATTTATTTGGGACAAGGCTGCAAGAGCTGATGGGCACCAAAGCCAGCTCCGTTGTGCGGTGCAGAACACCAGGCCTATCTGCTGCATGTGTTGCTTTATGCCATAACATAAATGTCTTCATTTTGGCTGATCAGAGACCGGGTTGGTCCGGTGGCAGCTGCAGCATGAAAAGAGGTGTGGAGTTTGGGATTGGTTGCACTAAATAGTCTGGGTGCTCAGACACAACACGCTTACGCAGAGCGCAGATGGGGAACGTGCGACAAGGAGAACAGATGGGACATGAAAGGGTGCGGAGGACCTCAAGCTTGGCCTCCGTGGGCGAGCAACGTCTTTATGGTCTAGGGTTTCTCTTGGCGTGTTTATGAAGCTTGTCTAAGGAGGTATTTGCTTTGCTACCTCACAGTGGTGGGTTTTGGCAACTCCAAGGGGCAGAGCTTGACATAACAGTTGCAAGGCATGCAAACACTTGGCATCCCTGGTCGTTTACAGGCTCAGGCTCCATGGAAGGATGCCCAAAGGGGTGAATAGGAGATGGCTAACACAGGAAAAATGCCATACCACAAAAAGGAGGGGGAAAAGCTGGCACTGGGAGCAGCTGCATTCAAATGAGGTGTTAGTTCTTGGAAACGGGGGAGAGTCCTGAGTAACAGCAGCGCCGTGTGTTGGGTCTGGATGCAAGTTGAGCAGTTCTGGCTGTGTGGATGAGGCTGTGGGTAGTCTGAAGGAGTCAGAGTAAAGGGAAAAAAGGCCGAACCCAGGGTTTGGAACCTTTCCTTTGCCCTGCCATAGTTTGCTGGGGCATTGCCACAATGGGGTTTTCTTGATGTCTGCCAGTTGGATGGGGATGGATCAGGGTTGGGGTTTCCTTTGGGATTTTGAATGTCTGTGATGATTTACTCTGTTTTTTTTTGGCGTGTTTTCTTTGCTTGCTCCTTTGACGATAGAAAGTGCAATGATCTCTTTTAACAAGTATGAAATCAGTCACTTGAGAGTTGAAATCAGTACGTTGGACAAGCTAAAGGCAGTGTCAGACAGGCCTGACTGCTGATTAGGACATCCTTGTGGGAAAAGCAGAAAGTTCTAAGACTTTCATGGACTGGTTTTCATCATGGTCCAGGTTTGCCTTCTCTGAGCTGGGCAAACCTCTGCTTTTACTGGGCCCCTTTGTGGGGGCACTGTGGCTGCCCCATCCCTGGCAGTGCTCAAGGCCAGGGTGGATGATGCTTGGAGCAAGCTGCTCCACTCATGCAGCACGGGTGGCTGATGCTCAGGGGAATCCATGTAGCTGAGGCCAGGAGAAGAACTTGTCCGATTGTGGGAACATACTTAGCATTCCTGTGGCTTTTCCCCATCCCTTTGCAGCCCTGGTTTGCAACAAGAGGTTATGGCCGTAGGTGCAATCCCATGACACTGTTAAAGGCTCCTATGTCCTCCCTCCCCTAACTTTCTGACCCCCCAGCTTCCATAATGCAAGGCTCTAAAGGAGGAAGGTCTCTGACTGGGGTGATGCTCGCTTTTACCTCTCCTTGCTATCCAAAATGGGAGAGTTTGGAGGCAGGGAATGCCACCACCACCGCTCACGTGGAACAGGCTCTGAGCTTCTCACAGGAGTCAGAGAACCTTCCCAGTTGTCCCTGGAGGAAGCAAGAGGAGCTGAGCAGGTTGGGGATGACTTTACTCAATGAGGCATGGCCCAGCTCTATAGGATCGTCCCTAATGAGTGATTAAGAAGCTAATGTTTGTACAGTGCTGGGAGGCACCGTGGAACCACTAAGTACTGTTAGAATGATAAGTATTTCTTAGGAGACCCTTCCCATGTAATGTACTCAGACAGCTTGAAGCCTTTGTCTTTTAAACTGGGGAATCACTGGGTTTGCCAGTGTGTGTTCATTTAGTTTTACTGAAGATGGATCCCAAAGCATCCTGAGGGGTGGGAGTTGCACCTCTTAGTGTTTAGCACTGCTAAATACGGCTCGAAGTGGGGCTTCTGTGATCATTGCAGAGCATCTTACCCATTGCTGGAGGGATGCTGAGCCTGGATCCATGTGGAGATGAAGGGGGTGAGGACCACTGTGGCTTCTGCCCCGTGCCTGGCTCTTGACTGCGCTGCTGTGTCCCAACAGCTTCAGCAGTGATGTACTCTGTTTTCTATTGCAGAGGTTAGCATACGGAAGGAAGGGAGCATAATTCCCAGTGACAGGAATGTGCTCTGGAGAAGGCCCCTTTTGCTCATGTTTGGCCTTCTAATACACAGAAATGGGTAGGGAAACAATAAAGCACCAACATGAGCTTTGTCCATAGCTCTTCAGAAGCAAGATGCTGGCTCCAGGGGAGAAGCCTGTAAACTTCTTGTGGAGTTTCTTGTCTGGTCCATGCTAGGCTCCAGCCGCCCTGTGCCCAGTATGGGATGGATGTGCTCTTCTCTTCCAAGGTGCACTGTGTTCTCTCTTGGTGCTCTGGAGAACCATGCCCTTTCTCCCTGAACTGTGTAGTGTTCTGACGGACACATGCTTCCCTGCTTGAAGTACTCTGCTTGCATTTTCCACTGTACTTCCTACACACTTCCAGCCTTTAAGGAATCATTTCCAAAATGTGGAATGAATTGCTTTAAAAGTGCAGGATTTAAAAACGCAGGAGTGTTTTCAGTATGCAGGGTCCATTGTGCAGGGTCCATTACGCAAGGTGGGTGTGCAGGGCCATCGGGGCTGTGAGTGGTCCTGCAGAACGTGTGGTGCAGGTAGGCGCAAATTTGTTTGGGCAGGATGCGTGCTGTGCTGTGCGGGTGGGTGCTCAGGGTGCTGGGGAGGGGGGTGTCACACTGCTGGTGTGATGCTGAAGGATGTGTGTGGGGGGTCACACCGCTGGAGTGATGCTGAGGGATGCGGGGGGGGGGGTCACGCCGCTGGAGTGATGCTGAGGGATGTAAGGGGGGTCACATCGCTGGGGTGATGCTGAGTGATGCTGAGGGATGCAGGGGGGGTCACACCGCTGGAGTGATGCTGAGGGATGTAAGGGGGGGGTCACACCGCTGGAGTGATGCTGAGGGATGCAGGGGGGGTCACACCCCGGGAGTGATGCGGAGTGATGCAGGGGGGGTCACACCGCTGGAGTGATGCTGAGGGATGTACATTGGGGGGGAGGGATCACACTGCTGGAGTGATGCTGAGGGATGTCACACTGGGGGGGATCACACTGCTGGAGTGATGCTGAAGGATGTAAGGGGGGGTCACACCGCTGCTGGGTGATGCTGAGGGATGTGAATGGGGGGGGTCACACTGCTGGAGTGATGCTGAGGGATGTAGGGGGGGGGTTCCACCGCTGGATGCTGAGGGATGATGCTGAGGGATGTGCTGAGAGATGGGGGGGGTCACACCGCTGGAGTGATGCTGAGGGATGTAAGGGGGGGGTCACACCGCTGGAGTGATGCTGAGGGATGTAAGGGGGGGGTCACACTGCTGGAGTGATGCTGAGGGATGCAGGGGGGGGTCACACTGCTGGAGTGATGCTGAAGGATGTAAGGGGGGGTCACACCGCTGGGGTGATGCTGAGGGATGCAGGGGGGGGTCACACCGCTGGAGTGATGCTGAGGGATGTAAGGGGGGGTCACACCGCTGGAGTGATGCTGAGGGATGCTGAGGGATGTAGGGGGGGGTCACATCGCTGGGGTGATGCTGAGGGATGTAAGGGGGGGTTCCACCGCTGGAGTGATGCTGAGGGATGTAAGGGGGGGTCACACCGCTGGAGTGATGTTGAGGGATGTAAGGGGGGGTCACACCGCTGGAGTGATGCTGAGGGATGCAGGGGGGGGTCACACTGCTGGAGTGATGCTGAGGGATGCAGGGGGGGTCACACTGCTGGAGTGATGCTGAGGGATGTAAGGGGGGGTTCCACCGCTGGAGTGATGCTGAGGGATGTAAGGGGGGGCTCTCACCGCCGGGGAGGGGGGGTCACTGCCGGCTCCGCAACCGGGGCGCGGCGGCGGCGGCAGCGGAGTTCTGCAGCGCCCCCGTGTGGCGCAGAGCGGTGCTGCACCGTGCGCGGCCGCGGTCCCGCGTTGGCTCCTTCCGCTTCCCGTGAGCCCACAACCAAGAACCAAAAGACCCCCCTAAAACCGACCCCCAAACCCCACCCAGTCTCCAGCCCGGGTGTTCCTCCGGGTCCCTTCTTCCTGCCGGGGGTGCAGGAGCAGATCCCTGCTTTTCCACGCCAAGCGTGGGAGCCGTGGTCTCCTGCCCCAAGGACAGGGTTGTGGCCGCTGCCCCAGGATAACCATGGAGGCGCTGGGTGATGGATGCAGGGGTGGGAAGCGTGGCCGGGGGGGAGTGAAGGAGCCACTTGCCCAAATGCTGCTGTTTCAGGAGTGAGAGCCAATCGCATGAAGTAAAAAGCAGCAAGAACCTGTTTCAGGAATGCTGAGTGGCTCCAAGCTCTCTGATGTGTATGGATCGCGCCCTGAATGCCTGCGGATGAGGGGAAATGCCTCGTACACTGGCGTTGAAAGCTTTACGTTTTTCCTTTCAGATACCATTAGAAGCAATTATTCTGCCTCCCTGATGTCCAGAAATGTCTTTTTCTGCTGTTGACCATGTTATTATAAACGTGCTGTTGAGGTACTTTAAAACTCTATGAA